TTCGTGACATCATTGAGGACGGCTAGATCAGGCATGATCACAGCCGTAACAAAACAAAATGAACTTCATCAGATATGCAATTTATTGGAGGTATTGTTTTAGAAGTAAACACCAGATCGGGCTATATATCTGACCGTCACCGTGAAAGATGCATGCTAAATAAATCAGGGCTGCCTTGACAGGACAGAGATCAGTCTCAGACATCAGACAGTCCTCAGACAGTCCTCTCTCCTGCCATCATCAGTCCGTCTTGACTGTGCGTCTCCTTCCGCCTGCACCACTACATAGCTGATGATGAGCCATCGCTGATGTAACAGTCAGTCGCACACAATTAATTAATTCCGTTGAAGGCTCCTTTATTTTTCTGTCGGCTTTTTTCTTCTCCTTCCGCAAACTGACATTGCAGTACCAGTACCTGTTATACCTGCCCGGGGAGGACTCACGCACCAACTCTATCTTGACACTTTGTTTACTGTAATCGCGTGCACGTATCGAGCAGCTAAGTTACGATAAGGATTTTCAAGTACTGCACTTCTCCCGTTCCAGAGCTCTTCAATGTGCATCTACGCCTTTACATGCTCCTGTTGAGCGGGTTATATTGGTCGAACAATTCGGCAACTATCCAAGCGTATGCCAGAACATCATCCTGCTTGGCTAGACAGAGGCCAGGTAAAGTTAATACCTTGCGATATTTTGGCTCACTTGGTTGACAGCGGTCATCGAGTAGACGTAAACCAAGCGTTTCGAATCATGTATAAAGTGACGACGAAACACTCCAAGTTCCTGCATCAGCGGATATTTGCAACGGCAGAGACAGTCGCCATACGGCTCATTTACTTGATCTTATGCGCGCAGAAGGCGTTCGTACAAGCACTAAGGCTCCCGCGGCCGAATACCAGCTCAACATCGGTCCAAACGCTTCCTACCACGCCGCAAGACGACGAGGAGCCAGCGACAGCAAGCATCGCCAGGCCAACCACGCCTTCACGAGACGATGACACCTTGCGTCCTCACGCCCCCCAAAGAAGCGCGAGGCAGGGATGACGAGACGACAAGAATTAATTGTCGGACCCCTTCCCCTCCCTCCTCCCCCTTTTCCCTCGCTGGTCCCTAGTTATGACTAGACTTTGATCCCTTAACACCCCTCCTCCTAATTATTACTGATTATTTACTTAAATTTTTGTAAACTCTGCCCTCCTTCATGTTATTGTAGTTGTCTGATGATGAATTGATCGAAAACCTTCGTTTGCCTAAATTGACTTCCTGAGTGCTTACATGGGTATCATTGCCGAGCCTTGTTTACTGATGCGTCGACTTGTTTTGCAGGAGCGGTCCAAATCGAACCTGGCGTCCTTCCTGCAACCCTTTGAGAGCACACTCTGGGTCCTGGTTGGGGTCTCCGTAAACGTGGTCGCCTTTCTGCTCTACATACTGGACCACTTCTCAGCCCTGAACTACCTCAGGCGGGCCAAGTTGAATTTAGCTTCTCCACGTCTGCCTTCCAACACCGACCCCCCCACCTCCACCACCGTCCCTGGTGTGTCGTCTGAGACGGAGGAGAAGAAGACCCCGGCGGCCCCGGGGTCAGACAAACCAGAGGACGGCTTCACTCTCAGCTCCTCCATGTGGTTCACATGGGGCATCCTCCTCAACTCCGGCATCAGTGAGGAGACTCCGAAGGCCTTTTCCACGCGGGCCCTCGGCATGGTGTGGGCGGGCTTTGCAATGATCATAGTGGCCTCCTATACGGCCAATCTGGCTGCCTTCCTGGTGTTGGATAGGCCTGAGGCCTCTATCTCAGGCATCGATGACGCCCGTGTAAGTTGCTGCACTTTATACTACTACTTATACTTTTACTACTACTACTACTCAGAAGCAGAAAAAGCGATCACTGGAACAATAATTTCATTTTCTTGACGTTTCAGATTCTGTCGAGAATCCATAATCGTAGGTAACCGTAGGCTGGTGTGAGACATACGCAGATAGGAGTAATACATGAATAGATTGCGTGGTATTTGTAGTTCATAGCGGCCATCCGCATACGTACTACAATTATCAGCTCCTGTAACCACCGCTTGGGGTCTGCGCATGTCTCATACGGTTACTTATGATTAAGGATTCTCGACATAATCCGAAACGTGAAAAAAAAAAAATTATTGTTCCCGTGATCGCATCTTCTTCTTCTTCTTCTGAACTGCTTCCTGGCACTCGCATATTCATTTCTATCGGCACTATTATTACTACTGATTGTTCGACCATCGATTTCGATGGAGTCCACCATGTGCTCAGGAGCAGGGATGGTGATAGCAACGGGGGAAAATTTAAGTGTGTTGACGCGTAGGCGTCTACCGCACTCTGAACCCGCTCAACCCGCTTGAACCGGTGACAAGACAGAGTCGAAATGACCGAGCGGTATCAGGCGTAGGCCGCTTTCTCTCCAATGCAGGTCAGAACACCGCCTAACTTAGTCCTAAGTGACAGTAGACTTTTGCGCTGGTAGTACCGCACTACCTACCTACCCTCACTCACTTTCAGTAGACGTCAAGACAGATTCCAGGAAACCGAGACTGATGCCGCTACTATTCCTAAACTACTTATTAGCTATTCGCCTTAATGATATTAGTATTATAACTGCCGCTATTTTTAAGTCAGAGGTGACGCGGATTTAAAGTCAACGCTGGCGCTCATATTTTCTCGGCCTCCACAAGGAGTGTGAATCTGGGTTTATGCTATTCCGAGTAAAGACATGTTTCAGGCTCGGAGCACATCTGTGCTTTGTCCTGGTTTCCGTCCTCCTACCTCCATTCACCAAGAACTGTGTCAGTTTCTCCTATGTTTGGACTGCGAGGACTAGGATACTGCTACTAGAGTAATATGCCGATGATATGAATGCTAATTCTATTAATCATATTTAACAACTACTAATACTGCTACTTCTACTGTTACTTAATGACGAGGCAACTGAGTGATGTTAGTACCGGTGCTACATGGTATTCCCTATGACTGTGTAACAAGAAATGCATCAAGTGTTTACGATAAACATAACAGCTGGGAATATGAGCTCACCATCTTCCGTGTACGGGGGATGGAAATCAGTACATACAAGCAGATTTTCGCCGGGATTCGCCCTAATTACGGCAGATTTGAGATCCTCATGGCGGTACCACTACTATTAATCCTGTTAGGGCTAGCAAGTAGACCATTACGTTTGTTATAACCTTGGGTGGGCCTGCGTTGACACTGGTTTTATTTTACAGTCCTGTGTTAAGAAAGGAAGGCAGACAGGATAGCAGATAATATTTTACTGTCACTGTTTCTGCTTGTAC